TTTTAGTACGAGGGAAGTCGCCCCGGTTTCCCCGCCCTGATTAATGGACGTGGAGTCCCTTATTTGCCGCGAAAGAAAGCTCAAACGACCGGCATTCATGGCGTCAACCAGCGACTCACTCTGAGCAAAAACTAATGCTTGTAATTCGTTCAAGGTGATGTTTCTGGTGTTTTTTGGACGCCTTTTTAATTTAATGTGCACCACAACTGCACGTTTCCCGGTAGAAAAGCAGCACGAATGGTAGGGTATCGAGAAGGAACAGAGGAAGCTCGCCGGTATACCTTCGTATTCTCTTCCCTCTTCTTTCCGCTATTTATGCAGCAGGATCGCCAGTCCAACAAACACACCTCTGCTATACTTTTGCGTTAATTACCACAGTATTCAAACGTATAGATTGCCACGGCTTAGATGTTGTAGCGATACTGCCATCGCTAAAAAAAGCACGATACGTGTTTTATTTAAAGCAGGCTGACATGCGAATGTTTGCCCACACGCAACTGAGAAAAAAGAGATTGGCAGAATTGAGAAGGACAATAAAAAATGGGTGTGAGAAGAGAGGAAAAATAACAAAACTTTACATCGTAATATGAAATTTTATTTTAATTTCTTGATTCACATCACCCAGTTCGACGCCCTGTTTTAGTTCAAGATGTCGCAATGAGTGTAAAGTTCTCGACGTTGGTACGGCGGAGAGGGCCTCTATCACAAGCTGTGGTTGGGATGCTGTCACCGGGTGTGTTCAAATGATAGACGTCTATGCGCACGGGAACACCCAACGAAAGCAGGCACAACTCTCTGAATGAGCTCCTTCGGCACGCCAGCCGACGCCGTTTCTGGTCCAAAATTAGAGGAGTAAGAGCCAAGAGTTGAGAAAAACACATAAAGCAGTTCGCAGTTTCATTACAATCTTGAGTGAAATGACCGATATAAATACAAGTTGGCATGACATACGAAGAAAAGCGCAGCTCACTCCTTTAGCAAGCACATCACTGCAGTGACCTTCTTGCAGGGGGGGGGGGGGGCTGAGGGGCGGGGGGGAGACGCGAAACCAGCCTGATACAATGACATAAAAGGAAGGGGGGGGGGTGACAAACCTTTGCTCCCCCCCGCTTCATCCTGAAGTGGAATCCTTGGAACCCTGCGCACGCCTATATACATGTTACTTGTATACAGTACTCACCCATGCGCAAAACCTATAAGGATATATGGCGTGGTGGGCACCCGGCGATCTTTAAAAATGCTGTCCTTCTGCAGCTTTCGCCGTGACAGCGTTGCGTGTTCTACGCTAGTGAAGGTGTCCGAGAAGTTCGACCCTCTTGGGATCTTTAACATGCAATTAAATCTAAGTACACGGGCTTCAAACATTTTCGTGTCCATCGAAAATGCAGCCACCGCCGCTGTGATTCAATCCCGCGCTAGTTCGGGTTAAGAGATATTCACACGACGGACGAAATCACGATTCGGCCCTGGGGATCGCGTACTGCATCAGCGCAAGCCACCCGTTCCCTCTTCCCAGATTCTGTCCAGGCTATTCATATCAGTCCATATCACAGCTGGGATCCTCGGGAAGCACCGCCGAAATCATCGCTTCTAGCGTGAATTCGCCCATGTAGCATGAAGGCTGGCTGTGGAGGGATCCGAATTACGTCACATGCCACGTGACTTATCCGTTCGCGATCACGTCCGTCGAGTGAATATAGCTTGAACAGTTGAGCGCCATAACCACTATAGACCACGGTGGCATTGCGCCTTCTAGCACATTAAGAGAAGTCATGTGGCGTAGTCATGCTCAAAACCAGGTGGTCAATTCAGGCCTACAACAAAAATGTCAAGGCTCATAATAGCAGTAAAATAAGCAAACGAGGTTCCAATTGCTACATTTCTGAAGTAGCGCGCGACTATATTTAACAGAGACAGCAAAAGAATAATCGCAATAACTAACCTAAAATTAGTTAAATCACTCCGAAAACATGCGGCTGACTCTTTTGGAAGTGCGAGAGGTGAGAAGAATGCAACGCCACAGTGATTAGTGACTTTACTGTAGAAGGTATACTCACATGGTAATCTCGAACAAAGCGATCTATGCGAGCCACGATCTTCCGGCTCATGAAAAGAGAACAATGAAACTATGAAAAGGGAAGAAGCTCGATTCGAAGACTCAAGGGAGCGATTAGGCCAACCCCGCCGCTCGAAGAGCAAGAAGCAAAGGCTACACGAAAATCGTTTGGCGGCTGCTCGGCGAAACCGGGACAATGTCGGAGTTTTAAGCTTTTTAAAAGGAATAGCGGGCAGCTTATCTGTCTGAAGTGCAAAAAACAAGCAATCGCTATGTCATGAGATGAAATATGTACATAGATATATTGTCTTTCTTTATTGTTTTTTGAAGGATTAAATCGTGTGCGAAGGGAGCTTCGAAAAGAGGGTGAAAGCGTGCGCACACCGTACAAGGCCGTGGAATGTTCATCACAGCAAAACTATTTTTATCTTCAATTACAGCTAAGTGTCACAGGCATTTTGATGTTTTTTTGTGTGTTTTGATTTTTGGCATTTTATGCTTTCAGTATTTTGCGCAATCGGCTTCTAAATTTTCGGGGCTTTAAACTTAGGCATTTCAACAACCCGCATGTGGCGGCTGCATTTCCGATGGAGGCGGAAATGTTGTAGGCCCGTGTGCTCTGATTTGGGTGCACGTTAAAGAACCCCAGGTGGTCGAAATTTCCGGAGCCCTCCACTACGGCGTCTCCCATAATCATACGGTGGTTTTGGGACGTTAAACCCCACATATCAATCAATCAATGAACAACCCACGATTTCAATTTCCGGCGTTTTGAATGCCATTCTTCAAGTATACAATCACCACGGTGGTTGGTCTAAAGGCTCATTCGCACCGAAAGGGGGGCGGCCAAAGCGGTGAGCCGGCAGCGCGGAAAGCGAGAAAAACCTCCTTTCCAGGTGGCGAAAGCGGGAGAAAAATAAAGCGGCAAGGGCGATCGCTTTCGGAGCAATAGACCTCTCCCTGTTTGTAAACAGTGTGACGTCACTGCGGGCACCCCACCCCCCATACCCTCTCTCGGAGCAGGTGCTGGTTGGCAAGAAAGTTCCTCCGGCGACATCTTTCTGCATAGCAGAGCCGCGTGTTTGTATACATTTGACCGAAATTTCTACAGTGCTTTGTTCTAAAGCAACAGCTTTTGGAAGAAGGGGGTCGCGGAAGGGTCACTGCTCATAGTGTGCCAATTCGCTCGTCGTATAGTTGGTGAAGAAACTTTGTTTAGAGTACTGAGAGACGCGACTAGCACGCAGTGGGCTTCCACGTAGATGGCAGCCATAAAAATATCTTATCTTTTTCGAAAGCGAACGTTTTGAATGTATACAGTTACTGGCACATTGAGAAATATTTGCATGGCATGGATGTAAACTTATTCGATTTCCATCGTGGTATGTGCAGTGCAGTTTTAAACGAGGTACAGTATTGGCGGCAGCATGGTTTTAAGCTGCTGTGCGCGACGCCACAAATAAGATTCTCATGCATTGCCCAAAAGTCTGATAGGAGATGAATGAAAAAAAAAAGAAACACTTCTTGCCGTGGGTTAGACTGAGGTTAACATATCCTCGTGAAAATCAAAGTGAAATTCTGCTGCTGCGTTTCTCAATAACCCAGTGAAAATTCATGTGATGTAAAACCCGAATTATTAATGATATATAATATCTGGCACAGTTGTCTTGCTGCACTTGACACCTATAACGTGTTTTCGCTCCTTTAGGCCTGATATACACTTCTAATGCACATTGTCACTGCATACGGATCGAGCCGTAAAAGTACAAGGTAGATAAGAAACGAAAATCTCCGCTGTTTTCATTAACACGTATCAGGTATTCGATAATACGAGATATAGCCGATGTTAAGCATATATGCAGATTCGGCAACGCTACAACATGCTTATAGCTCATGCGTAGTCGTATATGTCCCGCGGAGATCATGCACTTTTATTTTTCTGCACGCCGTGCATACCCTGAGATGTACCCACTCGCAGATTATTGCGCCGAATGAATTTTTACCTTGACTACAATGTCAGATCATAAAGTTCCATCGACAACCGGTTACTGAAACCGGCCCACAAAGAATACCAGTGTTTTCGCAAACAGGACGCATCGCGTTATTCACACGGCACACACCACGCACGATATTGCCAGTTTCACCATCCGTAAAGGTGAATCAATTTAGTCGATGCCTTTCAACGCACACTACGCACCACAGTCAACACTGCACATTTTTGAAGACAGTGCCGCTGTTCCTCGCACAGGCTGCCACGAGTGTTCACTTCTGCGAGATAAACAGCCAGCCAGCGTGGCGAATATCTAATCACGCACTTTAGCACACACCTAGACGTTCTCTGACACATACTACAGCTGATGTTGCCACTGCGAGATGAAGATTAAGCTTTCGAAAAAAAAATTGCCCCAAGCACCGAGTGACTGCACCCCACTCAGCCACCGTCGGGAGTGTTTTGCCAGCCACCGCCTTGCACGTGCACTGGTGACGGCACGCTGTGACGTACCCTGGTAGAGGTCTATTTGGCGGGCTTTCCACTCATTTTTAACCACGTTCGATAGCGAATATGTTAATCATTATTACCGATACTCGTTCGTCACTCAGATGCGTTTTAGGTGGCGAATCGCTACTTGGGGGTCGATGTCTACTCGTTGACGCAAAAATCTTGACATGAGTAAATTTGATGTCAGTGCTCCTTTAAATAGCTGTTAGGCTTGGAGGCAAAAAACTGCGCAAAACCTCAATGTTGATTCTTTGTTCAATGCAGTGTGCAATGTGATTTGTGCGGTGCGACGGCACTTGCCGGGCTGCTCAAACGCAATAATACGTTTTACACGGTTTGCAGAATTTACGAAGAGCTTATTTGCGCTTTCTGCCAAGTTATCTGCGTGGGTGCTTGTTAGAAACTTTCTTCTTGGCTCACACGGCTTATGTATCCGTCACGCAGTGCTGCCCCTGGAGGATCCGATCATTAGAGGACTCCGCAGCCAGTACCAAATCGGGGACCCAGTCAATTTGACGTGCTCCTACGGACCCAGCAAGCCCAACGCCTCGCTCACCTGGTACATTAACGATAGAAAGGTGAGCGCCTCAATGTGTTTTCTCAATAAATACTTGCTAGTGATGGCCAAACAGCGTAGTCCGTGCATTTACAATGCTGAATGCATGCTCAGCCACAATAGTCACAGTGCGGAATCTACGGGGAACCATCGATTGCGATTGGAACTCGTGCGAACAAACGATTGATGTTCATAACTTTATCGGCTGAATATCTATTAGGTCACTAATTGAATGAACGACCATAATACCAGGCGAGAATCGGGAGAGCCCCATGTACGAAGAGATTCCACCCAATTTCACACGTATCGTGAAAAGTTCTGAAAATTCTGTCAGCCTGGTGGCACCCATTGGACCAGCGTGTCTGTCGTCGCTGATGATCTACGCGGGCACATATCGTGCTCTCTCCATCTTCCGCAAATGGGGCGATACCCACACGCAGGTCATGCATATATGTTGCTCAGGTTGTTCGGATACGGTTAGTCTCGGCGCACACCATAATTCGGGGTATCGCACCTAGTGAGCCAGCTTCTTCCAATAAAATATACACTACAGTAATTTCAACATCGGTACTGTTTCATGCCTTAATATTTTCCCAATAATTTAGAAGATGCACGGAGCGGATTTTTTTTTTTCAAAAGACCCGAATCCGGAAACTGAAACTGGGCTAATTACGGGAGAGGAGACACAAAGCAAAGGCAGCGCTCTGGCACTTCCTCTATCTCACAGGAGAAGGTCCTCCCACCTCCTCGTGCTCACGCGGGGGGGGGGGGGGGAGTGGGGATCGGGGCATGCGCAGTGGGGGGTGCGGACGGTCACCGAGGGATGGACTTAGTCCCGAGCGAACGCTGCTTTGCATTTAAAAATAAATTGGCGAAGCTTGCACTAAGCGGCGCAAGCCTTGAAACAGAGAAAGTGCACGATTTTGAAGAATAGCTTATGCTTGCTTCTAAGGTTGTTTCCAGGCCTTAGCTTGGTGGTGAGCGTTACTATATTTCGAGCTACCAACCAGAGGGCGACAAAAGCGATGCTCAAGTTTCCGTGGTACACCGGACTCGCTAAACGACTATGACAGTCCTCTGCCGGAGCTTGTGTGTGTGTGTGTGTGTGTGTGTGTGTGTGTGTGTGTGTGTGTGTGTGTGTGTGTGTGTGTGTGTGTGTGTGTGTGTGTGTGTGCGTGCGTGCGTGTGTGTGTGTGTGTGTGTGTGTGTGTGTGTGTGTGTGTGTGTGTGTGTGTGTGTGTGTGTGTGTGTGTGTACGTGTTCTCTTTTTCTCTTCACCAATATTTCTTTTCCATTTTCTCACTTTCTTTATTTCTTTACCTCTCCCTCACCGCTTCCTGAGTGCAGAGTTATTCTCGCCACTTTTCACTTAACATTTCTTTCTCCCTCTCTCTTGTTTCTATAGGTTGGTCTTAAGCCACTGCTTTGCTCTAGTCAGGTGATGCTAAGTTTTTTTCTACATTGATTCTCAGCACAGATAGGTTTGAGTGAAAACAGGGACAGTCGCCGACACGACACGGATGTCAAAACTGCCCAGACAGGAACTGCCACTGAAAACCAAGCGTCCACACCTCTCATCGACCTACGCGCAGGTCGTACTCGCGTAGGCCTTCTATTGATTCGCGGTAGCAGCCACCGTTGCCTTTCCGATTCCCTGTAGTGCCGGGCAAACTGTTGCCTGCTTCCTTTTTAGTGGACCGTTGATGAGTAGAACACAATTTTTGTGGCGTATATATCCCTACGGCCCGCACAAGGCAGGCCGCACAAACCACGGCTTCCCTAAACAGCCTCGCTGTTGAATGCCGTTTCGTGTAAAAAATAAGCCTGAAAGCCCAATTCTGCACAATTAAGCCTTATTCATCAAACCTGCGCTGCGTAAACAATTTTGACAAAATGAGTTCCTGTGTGCACATTTGATGTGGTTCATTTGTGTCCTAGTTGCTTTGCTATCGTATTCTAATTCCATAATTAGTTCTTATTAATTGCGCGAGTGGGTGCAACATGGGCATGGCGGCATAGGGAAAGACTGCAATGAAAACTATAAAAGACCGACATTCCTATACACACGCACACACATACACACATACACACACACACACACACACACACACACACACACACATATATATATATATATATATATATATATATATATATATATATATATATATATATATATATTTATATATATACTTCTACCCATTCTACGCGAAGAATGAAACTGAAACTGTAGAAAAAGATCCGTGGTGCACAGTTCGCTGGCTCACGCGATCCTATTCGAAGCCATAATTCTCATGAGGGTACATGATCGCAGCGCCAGATTCCTCTCTAAGTATAATTGTATGAAACTCTATGGTCATCCCCTCTTGTAGAATGAAATTTTTTTCCTTCCTTCAATTTTTCGCTACAAGACAGTATAACTTAAACATAAAACAATTCAAGTGAGAATATTATGCACGGATCTATTTTTCGAAAAAGTGATACGCAATGGCGTGGCATAAAACAAGCTAAGAAGAAGAAGAAGAACTGGAGCAGTTTTGAAGAACTTCAGTAGACGTCAAGAAACGAAAACACTGCCGACAGTCCATGGGGCCGACAGGGAGCCATGGGGCCACCGGCAGTCGGCATGCAGCTTTCATGCCATGAGGGACGCCTTTATGGTCTCCCATAGTTGAGAGCCGTGTGCACTGAATCGTTAAACACTTTTTCTAAACACACAGGTCTAGTCTATACACTTATTTTACGAGGTCATACACATCTATACACTTATTGTACAATCTATATGCAATCTATCTATACACTTATTTTACAATCTATAGATACTTTTTTTTCGAAGAGCTTATTTTACAAGCTAATTTAAGCCTGACTGAAATGTTCAAGCCTGGAAGAGACAATTTCAAATTTTAGTCCTGAATAACGGTGATGGTGGACAATGTAATTTTTAGCCGCAACATAGGTTTTATTTGTTTCGGTGAGATGAGCACACTGTCCAAATCCTACTGGAGCAGGTATGACCATATTGTCAGTTGCAAAAAAAATGACGTTTTTCTTGCTTTTGGGTAACGTGGTCTTGTATCTTTTAGAAACCATAGATATGCCAGCATGAGCAGCGGCGATAAGCTTGCTCACGCAATGTTCAGTCATCGCTTACATGGTGCGTCCACTTCTCGTTCACGAAACAACTTCTTTTTTTTTACTCTGGGTGAGATGCGCAAAATGGACGACTTTTGGAGCTCACATCTGTACTGCGGGACAATCAGACATATTCTCCTAGTTGAGTAGGCGAAACGAAAAAAGCGCAGACTACAGTAAAGCTCGGCGTTGGTCGTTTACTGGACCCGCCGCTAGCGCGAACAAACATTGCATTCACTGCGAAGGTGAGGCACGAAGGAAGTAGAACGAAGTGCTTACTTGGAGACTTGATTAATTTACTGACGGAAGTACGCGAAAGAGCAAGCTAATCACGACTGCCAGTCGTGGCCGCGACTACTGAGTCTTTTGCAGACTACTACACTGTCCACGAACATAGTACACAGAAACTGCACATGCAACAGTCACGAATCCACATAACGCGCACAAAAACGAGAAAAGTGTTAGCATCAACACTTTTCGTCAGCGAATGCTTTATACCACCATGATCCAAGTGGTTGCTGCGCGCCATCAGAAAGCGCATTGCCATTTCGACGCAGGACGAGCCACTCTCGTTGATGTCGCGTGCCGCGGGGATAGGAATGAAAATTTATCTCTGGCACTGAGCAATACGCGCCTTTGCGGAACTGAACAACACCTTCCCTTGGGAACTGAAACGTTCTCTACTGCTGCGGAGCACAAAACGACAATATAGAAACAGCAGCACCGTTCACTTCCATGCACCGTAAGGACGTCGAAAAAGCACTAACTCAATACGTCAATCTCACGGCAATATACATAGCCTTCCCTTCAGTGATACACGTAGGACGGACTTTCATCCCCTTAAAGGAGTCCAGAGGAAGGCGCCTGTCAAATCATTTGGCTTTGGGGCACGGAGAGGGATGATTTGTGAAAGCAGCCACGAAAATTATACGAAGTACTGCCTGTTATTACAGTTTTGCTTTAACACCTTGAAAGAATTTCTTCATTCTATAATTTCCTCTACAAGAGGTTACGGCATCTTGACAGCAGCACTGCGGGGAATCCGTACATTGAAGGGCAGGTTAAACGACTAGCTTATGATAATATTGGTTTCGCAATCATCTGCAACAAAATACAGGGAGCGTACAACTACATTTTTTTGTTGTTGTTCTGAAACCAAAGTGCACCACATGAACACTTCCAGCGTAGGAGTTCCCTTCATGATATCCAATGGAATGCCGTCTGTTTCAAGTATGCTTGGGAATGTCGGTTATTTATGTTCGTTTTTTTATAGAGCACGAAGCGAACAAGGGAGAAAAAAACGCAGACTCAGCGAGCTGGAACTTAGCGCTATATATTCTTCGTTTCTTTGTCCTTGTTCATTTAGTGCGCTAAAGAATAACATCGTTGCTTTCGTTGCCAGAAAATAAATGTCTAAAAGCGTATCCATTCGCCGCTCACACTCACCCAATGCTCGTCCTTCTCCCTCTCGTGGTTGACTGAAGACGCATGCATTTCATGATGGTGTCAGACGTTTTGTGTCATGCTCACGGGGCAAACATACGTCCCCGAACGCTCATGTTTTCAGTGAACAGGAACAAGCTTAAATAGCATGTCATAAATGAAGTGGCGTAGCCAGGAGGTGGCACACAAGACCCATGCCCTGCACCCCACAAAACAATTTTTTTCGTAATGGCATAAAGTGAATAACGACCGTACTAAGGCAGTGCAACTCCCTTTTTTTACCCCGAAAAGATTTCTGCCTACGCCCGAGCATGGATGTCGTTTGCCAAGAGCTCATGGCATTAAACAACAAATAGATCGCATCTAGAAAGCCTCAGATACGCCCTTCCCCCCTCTCCCCCTATTCCTGGGGTCACTCACGGCCACTGTCGATGTCATTAGGGATGGGTCGCGCCCCCTCTCACATCACGCTATGTCAGTTGCGCATTTTTACCGCAATACTGGAGATATCCGCTGTATATTTTCTCAAGTTGACTGTGCAGCTCGGTGGTGCGAAATAACAACTGCAGTATATATTTTCGCCTAACAACAAACCCACAACAACAAAAACAACAACAACAACAACAAGAACAACAGCAGCAACAACAACAACAAAAAGCAATCTTTACCATAGTCGTAGAAAAGTAGAACACTTATTAAGTTCTTCAAAACACTGGCGAGAGCACAATGTCGTTCATTCTCCTGTTAGTTATATAACCTGACAGAAAACACGAGCAAGCCATTAATCCTTATAACGGCACGAATAGACGTGAGAAGCAGCAAGCGGTCTGCAAAAAAACAGTCGCTCTTTTTACCCCACTATGCGAGCGTCTGAGCACGTCTTCCATGACGCCTTATTGGCAAAAATAAAGCTTTATTCGCAAAATCAAACAACATAACATAAAAGAATGCATAACAGATGAAGACATAAATAAATTTCGCTGAGCAATGTATCCAACTTGAATGCACGTTCTTTCTTGTAATTCATGGCTTAAAGCACTCCGTCTAGCCAAGAGCCGATACCACCAGCATGCGGCGCCTGAAGATTTCTGCGCCCATAACACCTTTATTGCACTCGCCATGACATCGCGCACGGTTCTGCCAGCAAATCTTGATTAAATAAGTCGTACCATGCCCATGTTGCTCGCGCGAAACAAAGGAAAAGGAGTAAAACTGTTTCGGCACGTCATCCCCGTTAGGATTAAGGGGTGAATAAATATTGTCTTGTTCGTTAATGATGGAATATTTATTGACATAACAAAGTTACTTGCACAATATCTATCTATCTATCTATCTATCTATCTATCTATCTATCTATCTATCTATCTATCTATCTATCTATCTATCTATCTATCTATCTATCTATCTATCTATCTATCTATCTATCTATCTATCTATCTATCTATCTATCTATCTATCTATCTATCTATCTATCTATCTATCTATCTATCTATCTATCTATCTATCCATCTATCTATCTATCTATCCATCTATCTATCTATCTATCTATCTATCTATCTATCTATCTATCTATCTATCTATCTATCTATCTATCTATCTATCTATCTATCTATCTATCTATCTATCTATCTATCTATCTATCTATCTATCTATCTATCTATCTATCTATCTATGTTAATTTCATTTCAAAGGTCGTGAATCTCGGCCCGCGCCCGGCCCGGTGACTCAAAGAGAGACACGGCCCCAGCTCAAACCCGACAAACAATTTTGCCAACCCAACCCATTTTGATCGCGAAACAAGTCTGAACACGGCTCGAGGTAGTGCGTCCCGAACGTGGAATCAACAGCAAGGAGAATTAGGTGCACCCACATCTAAGCTATGTGGGCGAATGCTTCATTAACCATTCTGTTTAACCTATGGTAATGTCTAGTAGAAAAGGGCTCATGGTAGAAACAGTTGAGTGAACCCAATACGAACGACGGGAATTCGTTCCGCAGTAGTATACTGTTGTCTGGAAATACAATGAGGGTCATCAAGAGTGCTTTGCGGCAGCAATTGTTTAGCAAAGAAAATGATTTGCCGCACGGGTTATATGTTGAATATATAAGTATAGACACTCAGGGACAGAAATGCTAAAAAAATATGTAACCTGAAGACACTAGAAAAGCGCTGACTTAAAAATAGATTGAAATTTTTCTTCATTTAATGGTACATGATATTAAAATGAACGGAAACAATTACTTACAACTACCTGGGAAACGAAATGAGAGGGAAAATCATGGACGAGTGCTGCAGTCCTTGCGCAAACGAAGATGTACTGGTATTTTTTCTTCCCTGAAGTAATTGAGGCCTGAAATGGGTTACGGAGTGATGTAGTGAAACAAATAATGTTAATAATTTCATGCACTTATTAGATGTCTATTCATGTGATTTACCATTAAGGTTACCCCGAGTGTTATTTATTGTTATAGAAATTCAAATGTGTCTTCTCATCAGGTTATAAGAGGACTTTTATTAATTAATACAATAGTATGTCTAAGTAATTGTTGTAAAAATAGAATTTCGTTTCTGCTTTATTTATAGAAAGTGTAGTGACTCCCTGTAATGACCATAAAGGAAGGGTTAACAGTGTTTCCAAATAAAATAAATCAATAAATAAATATGGGATCCAGTGGCATCTGCACTTCGGGTTTTCTTGTGACAGAGTTAAATTCTTTATCGAGAATCGAAAACAGGCTAGTGATTCGGGAAGGCGATACGTGCACGGTCCGATTGCGTTATCACGTTCTGTAACGTTCAGGAGCAAAGCTAAAGCCACATTCTAGCTTTTGAGCAGAATAAAGGCACGAAGCATTCGTTGGTCTTCGCTTGTCGGCGTCCAATGTCGTCATGCTGTGTCGTGCAGTCACAGCAAATCATAAACGAGCGTGAAACATAAAGCTGGGTAGATCAGACTACTCGCCAACGATCCACAAAACTGTAGAACGCGACAGTGTGCCCAACAAATAGCCAACAATGATAAAGGAGCTGGAACATCCTTCCCAACATGCCATTAGGAAATGAAACCGGGCATGTAAGAAAAAGAACGTGGAATAATAATAACAAGAAGCACTTTAGGATAAGCTGCATCACAACGCAGGTTTTCGTCTATGCTAGAGGAACGGAAACGGCTTTCCTCATAGCATGCCTGGTTTAACACCTGGCATTACTATTAGTTTTAAGGCGCGAAAAAATTCACAAGAGAGGACACCGGACAGAGTGCCTTTCTTGTACTCTCTAGTGATTGTGTTTTTTTTTTCGCGCCTTAAATAAATCATGAAGGTACACCAACTGGCCCAACAAAAGTTTTCTTTGTGCCACCGCCCTAGCGAAAAAAATCTTCCTAAAATAAATATTTCTCGCCCCTACCCCGGTTTCACGTAAGTGAAACAACCTTCCCTCCATGCTTCACTCCTAACGTTTTTTTACATGGTGTCTACACAAAACCAAGCCAAGAACGTGCACATGTGACGCACTTAAAGACGATTGGGGTCGTCTTCAAGATATGCTTTTTGTTGTTATACATATAAAAAGTACTATGCGGCTGCTGCTTTTTCATTTTGCCATTAGCACAATTAAGTGATTGATTTATTTGTGGTGTTTAACGTCCCGAAACCATCATATGATTATGAGAGACGCCGTAGTGGAGGGCTCCGGAAATTTCGACCACCTCGGGTTCTTTAACGTGCACCCAAATCTGAGCACACGGGCCTACAACATTTCCGCCTCCATCGAAAATGCAGCCGCCGCAGCCGGGATTCGATCCCACGACCTGCGGGTGAGCAGCCGAGTACCTTAGCCACTAGATCACCCCGGCGGAGCAACACACATTTAAGTCATGTTTGAGTGTATTTTCGGTGTTTAAATTCATGTAGTGACATAAAAGTTCTGAGTAGCACTTTGTGTCAATACCCACTCATAAGCTATTTCGGCGAGATCTTAATTTCGTATTTCGGCTTGTGGAATTTTATTTTCGGGCAGGTGCCTACCGGCAGCGAGGAAGTGGTAGAGAACGGCCATTTCGTGGATGCCGAGACTCTGTGGCACGCCCATTCACGTGTTTCGTTCGTGGCACAAGCTAGCCACTTCTGGCACGGAACCATGGAGGTTCGCTGTGCCTCACACTCGGCGCTTCCTTACTTCGTCAGCAGTGAGGAGCTCACCATCAGGGACTATGGACGCATCGTCGACGTGTCCGGTACGTCTAGCCGATGGACAATGCCTCCCTGTTAAAGAACCTGCTTTGAACGTTGCTAGAATCGTTGATGAGTAAGATGCCAACAATAGTGAGTAAGATGGAAGGAATAGTAGATATGGTGGAAACCATAAAATAGTTCCTATAAGCACACTAAAGAAACCGGCGCTAGTGTCTATGGGAGCTGCAACAAACGGCGGTTCGGCGAGTATGAGAATGGTGGATAGTAAACGTATTTTGGCCCCGTGTGGCTTGGAGCTGCTTTGTCACGAAGCGACAATCAGCAAATGATCAGCAGTTGCATTTCACCACATCAACATTTTAGGCTCGTGAATTCAAATGGGGTCACAAAATTCACAACGGTGCGCTCATGTGTTCGAGACAAAACTAACAAAACACAGCAATAAGCAAAGCCACAAATACGTTCGAAGCCTGCAAGTGCGAAGGCTAGGCAAATATTTGTACTACCCGTTATTCCGATGGCGTCATAACGAACACAGAGCCAGAGCCCGTCTAGTTATTTTAGGATGAAACTGTATGGTGGGAACAATAGTGGATAAGTTGTAGACAGCGCTGGTCAGAATGGGTAATAATGACGAATTGCAAAAGTGGTGGCAGGCTTTTAATGTCCAAGATAGCCCATGATAGTGAGAATGTAATTGTCTAGCCAATTTTTTAATAGCTTGGTGAACAAGTTCGATGGACGGTGCATGATGGAACCATGGAGCTGCATCATGTAGGCAGACCTATCGCTGCACAGTAACTGGGTGCACATTGCAGTATGTAAAACTATAATCATTTCTAATGTTTTCATATCAAACATACAGGAAATATGTTTATATTTCGAAGAAGCCAATGCTGATCATTACGCTTTCTAGCACGCTTTCTCAACACGAGAGTGTTAAAGAGCTCGTTTCGCGAAAATTCCGTCAATGGGCTCATTCATGATGAAGATGATCATGACGATGATGATGATAATAGTAATAATGATGATGATGATGATAAATAGTCTTTACCTGCTATTTATTTAAATTCAATCCTCCTTTTTCTGTTGACTGATACTTCCAAACCCTGCGTTGATTGAATGCTGTGCTATAACACGAAAACATCGATACTTGAAGTGAGTGCCTGTAAAGCGTGCACCACCTCAGTGTTATCCGTATTGCGGCAAAGCACATTCAAGGTGACCGGAAATGTGGTTGATGCGGCACGTGTAATAAACCGCGACTCGCTGAATTTATTTAATGCGGTAGCGTTATAGAAGTCGTTTCACAGAAATTTTGGCGTCGGTGTCAGTGTCGGCGTCATTGGTTGTCATCGAAAAATTCCTACCTTGTCCGTGGCCTAAATATCGAGAAAGAGCTATCTTGTCCGTGGCCTAAATACCGAGAAAGATGCAAATAAAATAAATACAATCATTTTCTGGGTCCGAGTATGGATCAAACCCAGGCCGTATCTGTGTCAAGCAGATGTTTATTCACGTAGTCATACGTCTGCTTTAAAGATGACTTCTTCTGCCTAGAAATGCAGTAAAAAAATATTTCGTGTTTTTTGCCAACACACGCGTTTTGTGTACAGGCTTCACAATAGAGAATGTAATATCATAGTAATATTGTGTAGTACAAACGCACATTGCCATCTGGCTTCCGAACATCTTATTATCATCAAAGCTTGTTGGTTTAATGCCAGCCACCTATTACGAAAGGCACACATGTTACCGTGCATAATCTCTTAAAAACCACGTAGAGCTTTCATAACAAGTTCGCGAACACCACGCACATAATTGCTCATAATTTATAGTACGCTGCTCATTATACAGAATAGAATTATGTGCGAAAGCTTCGCTGTTACAAGCCACTTTCAACTTTATCGATTACACTGTAGTAATCCACAATTTAAATTTCTCGTGTAACATCATACAACTGAAAATGCACTATGGACAGAGCATCGCTACCGCGTTCGACTCTTCAAGGCGAAGATTAATAGTCCCCCAATTTTTAGAGGATGATGACATTAATTCACCTGGACAAGATTGTGCCGAATAATAATAATAATAATAATAATAATAATAATAATAATAATAATAATAATAATAATAATAATAATAATAATAATAATAATAATAATAATAATAATAATAATAATAATAATAATAATAATAATAATAATAAAATTTTGAGTTGGGTGAAGCAAAGCTCACCACCCCGTCATAAAGGACGCTATTTCATTAACCCATACGCTGTCGTCGAATGAACTCCCATAGCCTCTTGCGCGCTCCCCGAAAATCAGTAAAGGGCGAAAAACACTGTTCTTTTCGTCTTCTCCGTCGACTATGTTAGACCACCCCACCATCGAAAGATTGACGTATTGTCTGTCGCATCTGTGCTGTCAATTGAAATATTTCCAGTTTCCTTCATTGAAAGATTAAGTTTTCAGGTGTATTTAAGAATTTCGCCTTCTGCGATGTCACGTCGGTCGTCCACATTTTTCGCTGATCGATGAAAAGCGAAAATTGGAAACTGCCCTGTGCCTGATAAGGAAATCGCATTACCGTCCTACTACCCTACGCTGCCCGGAAGTTTTCAATAAGACTACACAACTATCGTAATTAGCCTCGGTTGGCACTTTCCTACGTTGTCTATTTGTGCTTACCGAGAGAGCACGCACGCCGCTGATCACGCCCTTATAATCAAAGGCCACAGTTGCTGCTGGAATCACGCTCCCCTACCCATTTTTTTTTTTTTTGTGATCCTTCAAACCGGACAGAGGGAGGGGGGCGTTTCTTTTCTGTTTGAGCGGGATTCGACGTCAGGCATCGCACGCGCGATGATGTTTTCGCACGGGCCGTCCGAACTAGGGAGATGGGGGGGGGGGGGGGGGGTCGTTTGATGTCTACTTCAGTCGCGTTCGTCGGCCTCGCTCGAGCATTTTTACGCACAGGGGATGCCTGGGTAAAAGCGCGGTGGTTATCGATTTCGGCTTTATATAGAGAATGACGTCTACGCCGAAGGCCAAAACTCGTCGAGAGTGACTATGAAGTTGCTATCTCAATAAAAGCTTACTTGACTACATTTCGGCAAATGTGTCCACGACGCAGTACAACTTCAGGGCTTGGTCCTGAGGCAGCTGACGGCAGGCTCATAAGAGGCCGCTCTACAGCCTGCTTTGGGAGTGTGTTGTGGGTTATGTTCTAGACTCCACTAAATAATTGCCAAGCTATATCCTGATGCATACCCCAGCGACACATGCCCATCATATGGACACACAGCGACACTCGCACAAATGCTCTGGGAGTGTAGAACAACTCCTCCCGACTCTACCTCAAGCAAGTGGGAAAGGTTCCTCTGGAGCTCACTTCTCGCCGACCAGCAATGGGCCGTCCAGCAGCCCACGAAGCGGCCGCCAGGTACTCCCTGTCAGTCCCTACGTGGGAAACGCCCACTACGCGCTAAGCGCGTCCTGCAGGACTGAAATAAAGTGTTTTCATTCATTCATTCATTCATTCATTCATTCATTCATTCATTCATTCATCCATTCAATCATTTATTTATTTATTTATTTATTTATTTATTCATTCATACACACATCAGTCTGCTGCAGTGAATGTATACATCACCTTGTAATCGTAATTGCGCGAGCAGGTATTAGGAAAAATAAGGGCCTATGTATGCGGGAGTCCTGAAGAACCCGCATAACAGCTAAGGTGTATCAGTGGCCAAGAACATCTTTTGGCAAATACGTTCAGTGCAAAATATACGGCGCACAACAGCGGAAGTGCAAATAAAGTATTCCTTTATATCATGAGCTTGAATGCTGGTTTGAAATATATTATTTGCGAGTGAGTAATAGTCTTGTGCGCGTGTGCAGAATTATTCTATCAGTAGGATGCTTCTACCAAATTGTGCAGGGCCTCGCATAAATGGTCCCCGGCTGGAAGGCGCCAGAGATTACTACAATCTCGGCAATGTGATCGACCTAAGCTGCCGTGCTGACGCCACATCGCATGAGCTGAAATGGCACATGAACGACAGGGAGGTAAGTAACACCGTTGCTGCTGAACGAAGGAAGGTGGAAATTTAAGGGCTCCTTTTCCTCGTTAGACGCAATACTAATGATAACAATTGGCAATACTACCAGAAAAAAAATATAAGGGATGTTATTAGAAGTAACTTTGATGCAAGTTCAAAGAAAGAAATGTGAACGAAAAAAAACAATCTCCCGCTAAATAGAACCACGTGTAGATGCGATGCAGGGGGCGTTAACGCTTACACGGGTAGCGGCGTTGACGCTGGCGCTCATCTTGGTGTCGCGCAGGCGAGAAACCCGAGAAGGCGCAAATCACGCAGTGATGAACCAATGTTTCCTACTGGAACATGCCGATCGCTGCTAATGGGCAATGAGAGACAGAATGTTCCGATTGAACACAGAACCCGCAGAACGCAGGCAAACTTATAGTTCAATCAATCAAAGGACCAAGCAGGATTTTCTACAGAATACTCCAAAATAGAACATATTGATACTATCAATCAGGTAATAGAGAAATGCGCGGAATACAACCAACCCCAATACATAGCTTCCATAGATTGCGAGAAGGCGTCTGAATCAGACGAGACATCAGCAGTAATGCAGGCACTACGAAATGAGAGCATCGAAAAACCCCTACATAAACATACTGGAAGAAATCTACAGTGTATCCACAGCCGCCATAGTTCTCCATAAAGAAAGTGATAGAATCCCTAAAAAGAAGGGTGTAAGGCAGGGAGACACAATCTCTCCAATGCTATTTACCGCGTGTTTACAGGAGGCATTCAGGACCCTATATTGGGTAGAGTTAGGGGTGAGAGTTAATGGAGAGTATCTTAGTAACCTGCGATTCTCTGATGGCCTTGCCTTGATGAGTAACTCAGGGGACAAATTACAGCTTATGATTACTACTGGACACGGAAAGCAGTAAAGTAAGACTGAAAATTAATATGCACAAATCTGAGGTAATGTGCGACAGTCTGGACAGAAAACAGCACTTTGCGATAGGTGGAGAGGCGCTGGAAATTGTAAAGGAATATATATACTTAGGACAGGTAGTAACCACGGAGCCGAACCATGAGAGTGAAATAACTAGATGATTAAGGACGGGGTGGATCACATTCAGAAAACATTCTCAAATTATGAATGGTAATTTGACATTAAGGGTGAAATCGGAGGTATATAACAGCTGCATCTTGCCGGTACTTAGCTACGGATCAGAAACCTGGATACTTACAAAGATGGTTCAGCTTAAGTTGAGGATGACGCAGCGAGCGATGGAAAAAAATGGTAGGTGTAACCTTAAGAGACAAGAAGAGCGCAGAGGGAGTCAGAGAACAAACCGAGGTTAAGGATATCATAGTTGAAATCAAGAAGAAATGGACATGGTCTGGGAACGTAGCACGTTGGCAAGGTAACCGCTGGTCATTAAGGGTAACTGACTGGCTGCCCAGAAAAGTCAAAGCACAAAGGGGAAACAGGAAGTTAGGTGGGCCGATGAGATTAAAACTTTCACCGGTATAACGTGGCAACGTAAAGCACAAGACCGGGTTGATTGGCGTATCACGAGAGAAGAATTTACCCTGCAGTGGGCGTAGTCAGGCTGATTATCAATGGGCATGACTTTTTGCTACATAGCATTGCGGCACAAATGGAGTTAAAAAAACATGGTCGACTCCTACTTCTTATAAATCGGTATAATAAGAAGGTACGTGTCCTTCAGAAGTAGTTGAATGTTTACTGTACATTTATAAAAGAGAGCTTGCACAATGCATTTGGCGTAGGTGGGTCGATCCCGGCCTTGGTGGTCACATTTTTCATGGATGCTAAATGAAATAGAGGCGTTTGTGCTGTGCAATGTAATTTACCCGATGGTCAAAGTTTCTGGCGTGCTGCACTACGGCGCCCCTAGTCATCATATTATGGCTTTGAGACGGAAAACCACAAACGTATCATTACAAAGTATTTTCGTCTATACCAGTTGTAGCACAATTTAACGTGGGTGCGCCCACGTTGACGCTTGGCCTTCGTAGCTCATGTCCATTCCGACAGCTAACCACTATGATCAATGAAGAAACCTTCGTGGTAGCTATAGTGGTACAGGTCAGAGCGTAATCAGAGAAAGCTGTGTTAGAGCAAGAAGAGCTTCCCCGACTGGACGCAGAACTCGGGCTATGGTCGTCATCCCGCAGGATGTTAAAAAGTTCAGGAAGTCACGCCACTACCAGGCTATGCAGGCAAACGCTACATGCATCGTGTGTTTCGTTTAACCCTCAAGAGGGGAAACTTGGGCTAGTTGGTGCGTAGTCATATTCTACGCACCAACTATTGTGAACAAAGGAAAAGGGACAGGGTCCCTTTTCCTTTGTTCGCGCGCTGAAACATCTTGCAAATGTGACGTTTAACCCTGCAGCGATTTTTCTCTGGGCGAGCGTAAGTGGACAAAGCATTCAGCGCGCTGTTACAGGTGGGGTAGGCGAGCGTCACAGAGCTATTTGGATGGACACTGTGAGCGAGGCTGACGCTTGGGCTAAGGACACGACCTCATGGTGTGCTAAGGCGTAGACGAAATGACGCTTACATCCACCGCGGTAGAGCAGTGGTTATAGTACTCGCCTGCTAATACGAAGGTATCGGGTTCGATTCCACCCGTGGCGGTCGCATTTTGATGGAGGCGAAATGTTAGAGACCTGCGTACTGTGCCATTGTCGGTGCACGTAAAAGAAAACCCAATGGCAAAAATTTCCGCAGCCCTCCACTATGGTATCTCATAATCATATGGCGTTTTATTATTGCAAAAGGGCCGATATTATAGTTAAAATTGCGCCTACCTATTGAAAACGCACCGAGTAGGACGGGCGCGTTGCAGGAGCTAATCGAGGAGGCCATGGTCACCATGCACTGCTTCCCTTTACCCCTCCCAGACGGAGACACCGACTAAGAACACTGCGAGAGGAAAGTATGCGTTCTAAAAGGCGCGCTTGTGAAACCTCTAGAATGTCACACGGTGGCGCCTGGATACCACCACCGGCATTTGTTGTCACGGGCTGAGACGTCGTGGGTTCGGCTCTCGTTAATGAAACTTTTTCTTCAAGTTTTGCCATCTAAGCGTGTGCATCTTGTTTTATCTATTTACTTTCGCGTCATTTCCGCAGTGGAAAAACGTCAATGAAGTCTTGGTCGAACACGGCATAAAACACTCTCGTGTTAAAAGCACTGTGACCACCACCTAAGCGCTACTAATTTACTGAGAATCATTCACTGATTTTTAGCTTTAGTGTACAGCAAGATGACACAGGGGTTGGACGTCGCTGCTACTCGTTGTGCTATAATAATCACTGCAGCCAATGATCGACTGTTGCTGAACAAATAGCTACAAATCTTCCCGCTGCAGGTCACTTTCGTAAGTATTTTCTGTCGAGACACGTTGTTCTAATCACGCAGGCTTCAGTTGTTTTAAATTTGACTGGCCCTGTTCTACTTTCCTACGTCCGATAAAAAAAAAGAAGCATGACGAACCCACGAACACACTGCTGCTCACGTAGATATCCTATTCTGGCAAGCATTTCCTGTCGCACTGTCACTGTTGGGGCAAAACAAAACACCATGGGAGAAGCAAGCAGGACATTTTGTTTTGCGACATTGCCTCGCAACGAGATCTTGTTTGCTCGAGCCGTGCTCTGCCATCGATGCTCGCTGCAGATCCTCTTCACCGTATCGCAATGAAAGCCACACACACACACACACACACACACACAGCACTGCTACGCACCCATCGCTTACAAACGCACGCACAGTTCTTTGTCAAACTTTGATCGTCGTCTGCCCGCTATATAGCACGCAAAGAAATTCGACGGCCACCAAAATGCTAAAGTCTACGAAGCAACAAGTTTCAGAAAACGTTCTGTCGGGGCCACCTCTTCATCAACAGCGATATATCCTGTAAGCGCTTATCGGGTTGTTGCTTGAGACCCAATTCGACCAGAAACTGAACAGTTTTTGAAAATTCAAGGCTTCGCTTCATCGCCAGGTTCATCCTCCTCATTATCAATACCTTCTTTCTCCTCTCCATACCACACCTTTTTAAGTTGATCCAGGCCAACCTCTGAGATTTTGTGCCAGGACAAACATTTCTCTCTCTCTTTCTTCATGGCTGTAACGTTACTACTGATCAAGACAATGCACCACGCTACAAACACCCAGGGCGTTTGTTTGCAATAGTCTTTCGCAGCTGTGTCCGGTTTCCAGACACACTACCAGTGATGCTCACAGCAACCCTTCATCGTTGCTCCAAAAGCACGTGGCGTACATGGTGCATATAAGCTTGCAATAGCTTTTGTACGCGCTATAGAGCACCATAATGAATTGAGTTACTCACTCTGACCAGGGCCAGGCGACTACACGTGACGCGACGTCACAGTTCAAGGCGCGGGCGGTCATCGTCCTCGTTGGAGGAGTCATCGACCTTCTGACAAATGACAGCCTATACTAATACACGCACCTTCTGGTGCGTGCTCGTGTTGTTCAGCCTTCGACGTATGAAATGCTGCTGCGGATCGAGTCGAGCTAAGGCCACAACTTTCTCTTTTTCATTTCGACTGTTCACCTCAAATAATCTTCAATGCAGTTAACAATAACATGATTCAGCGTGCGACTAAAAAAGGAAAACACCAACAACAAGAAACATACGGCTCAGAATTTTCTGTCACTTCTAGATTACTAAGGAATGGCTTCATTCGGTTTTGGTAAATTTCAGCACGTTAACCACAAATAGATGTTTCAGCAAATTAGTCACTTAGGTTTGCTTTAGCCTAGAAAATAATCTCTCCTTTGCGAGACGGAATAAGCGTCCACTGGTGATGTACGGCTATGCTTAAAGTCATTCGTCTAGTAGCGCAGTGTGTGGTTGCCGCAGTCCCATTGTGAGAATTCCAGCCGTGGCTATATTTTGTCACTCAGGCCTCGTATCGCGCAGTACGAGGCAGCAGACACGCGAGCCGACCGACCGTGGC